TAGAATAGAATAGAATAGAATAGAATAGAATAGAATAGAATAGAATAGAATAGAATAGAATAGAATGTATTGGAATGAAGAATAGAATAGAATAAGAATAATCATAAGAATAGAGTAGAATAAGAATAGAGTAGAATAGAATAGAATAGAATTATTTATTGGCCAAGTGTGATTGGACACACAAGGAATTTGTCTTGGTGCAAATGCTCTCAGTGTACATAAAAGAAAAGATACATTAGTCAAGAGTCAAGAATCATAAGGTAACAACACTTAATAATAGTCATAGGGTACAATAAGTGAAATGTGAAAAAGTCCCCAAAATTTACTTCCCAGAAAGAGGAAACTGGAAGAACAGGCAACTCCCACAGAGGCTAAACTGGAGTGGCATTTGGCAACTGACTCATACTTATGACGGTTGCAGTGCCCCAGGGTCACATGATCAATCCCCTTTTGCGATCTTCTGACAAGCAAAGTCAATGGGGAAGCTGGATTCACTTAACAACCAGGTTACTAACTTAATAACTGCAGTGACTAACAACGGTGGCAACAGAGTTCGCAAAATGGGGCAGAATTCATTCAACTGTCTTGCTTAGCAGCAGAAATTTCAGGCTCAATTGTGGTCATAAGTCAAGGACTCTCACTACACCTACACCTACGCAAAGTGCAATCCAACTTGTAATATCAGCTTCGAAAGCCAAAATGTAGAAGCAGCACTCTCTTGGGCCTGCGAAAGAATGCGTTTCTTCCTCTGCTTTTTCCACACACACCCCCTCTCTTGTTCCCTCTCTTTAAGTAAGAAATGAGCCAAAAATATAGGTTGGACATTAATCTTAATAGTGTGTTTTAGAAATGTTGCTCTGTTTCTTCCCGGCCTAAATGCTTCCGACATGAGCTTGTTTAGCCATTGTCAACTCCCATTTGGCTTCTTTCGCCGGCTTACAAATGACTTAAATATTTTCTGGAGACAATCGTTTTCAAAACAAAACCAAGAGAGGGGAGGAGTAAACGAGCAGCCATCCGTCATTCAGCAGATTATATGTTCAAAACAGCCTTCAATTCTCTGCCATGAAGTCCAAAGGGATTTCGCAAGCCATGTGCTCCCCATAAAATGCAGCTGGGTTTAAACGAATGGTTGAAATGTTCAGCGTTTACCTTTTAGCATTGGAACTTCTTTCGCTTGTTCAATGGATTTGGGGCAGGACGTTAAAATTATTATACTGCTCAATTTTTCTCCCGGGGTTTGCATTCCTCTGTGTGATGATACCTAATATGAGGAAAGAGGCTTCATTAGAAATTTTTGATTTGTAACTCTGTTTGATTAGATTAACAGAGTTGGAAGGGACCTCGTAGGTCATCTAGTCCAACCCACTGCCCTAGCAGGAGACCCTACACAATTTCTGACAGATGCAGATGCAATTTCTGACAGATTTCTGACAGTCTCTTCTTGAAAGCCTCCAGTGATGAAACTCCCACAATTTCCGAGGGCAACTTCTGTTCCATTGGTTGATTGTTCTCACTGTCAGAAAGTTTCTCCTTATTTCCAGGTAGAATCTCTCCTTGATCAGCTTCCATCCATTATTCCTTGTCTGGCCTTCAGGTGCCTTGGAGAATGGCTTGACCCCTTCCTTCTCTCTGTGGCAGCCCCTCAAATATTGGAAGACCGCTCTCCTGTCTCCCCTGGTCCTTCTCTTCCCTAGACTAGCCAAGCCCAGTTCCTGCAACAGTTCATTGTATATTTTATCCTCCAGTCCCCTAATCATCCTGGTTGCTCTTCTCTGCACTCTTTCTTGAGTCTCAACATCTTTTTTATAGTGTGGTGACCAAAACTGGATGCAGTATCCTAAGTGTGCTCTTTACTAAAGCTTTATTGAGTGGTATTAGCACCTCCCTTGATCTTGATTGTGTTCCTCTGTTAATGCAACTTGCTTGTCTCCACGTTGCAGTTTGTTTTTAGGGGGGGTCCTTTTTGTTTGCTTGCTTAAAAGCCAACACACACACACACACACACACACACACACACACACACACACACCTTATAAAGAAGCCTGCCCTTCCCTACAAATGAGCTTCTCTTCCTTCCTGTCTCCTCAATTGTAATCCAAGGAAACCTTCATAGGATTCTTACGCAGATCCCTTGCACCAGCGGCTTTCTTGAGAGTTGTGTTTTTCTTTGTCTTCGCCTCCTGTTGCTGAGCATGGAGGAGCCAGGCTAAAAATATTTGTGGTTTTGCAGGGCTGGGCCGAGTGGTGGGTTTGGCTCTCCTCTTTAGTGATTGTGGCTTCCAGTTTTAATTACTTTTGGTGTTGCCTGAAGCCACAGGAAAATCTGCCAATGATACATTTCTGTGAGCTACCTCAGTGTATATAGCATGGGAAGCTGCGTGCAAATTTTAGACAGCATGCTATGGAAGAGGTTCAGAGAAAAACTCAAGATTTCTGCTCCTGGACATCCCTCTTCCTTTTCTGCGTTATGAGAATTGAACAGTAGATTTTAGGAGCTGCCCAGAGATTCAACCTCCAAGCCACAGAGAGGAAGTTCAGGAAAATGGAGTGCCTGTTTCTTTAATGTACATAGATTTTGAAATGAGATGAAGTGAACGCTTGAATGCTCATCTGTGAAACTGACATGGACCAGAGATTACAGATTAATAGAGTTGGAAGGGACCTTGTAGGTCATCCAGTCCACCCTCCCGCCCAAGCAGGAGACCCTACACCATTTTTGACAGATGGCAGTCCAGTCTCTCCTTGAAAGCTTCCAGTAATGAAGTTCCCACAACTTTTGAAGGCAACTTCTGTCCAATGCGTTGATTGTTCTCACTGTCAGAAAGTTTCTCCTTATTTCCAGGTTGAATTTCTCCTTGTTCAGTTTCCATCCATTATTCCTTGTCTGGCCTTCAGGAGCTTTGGAAAACAGCTTGACCCCTTCCTCTCTGTGGCATCCCCTCAAATATTGGAAGACTGCTATCATGTCTCCCCTGGTCCTTCTCTTCACTAGACTAGCCTGGCCCTGTTCCTGCAACCATTCATCGTATGTTTTAGCTTCCAGTCTCCTAATCATCCTGGTTGCTCTTCTCTTTTTAGAGTCCCAACATCTTTTTTTTATAGTGTGGTGACCAAATCTGGATGCAGTACTCTAGGTGTGGTCTAACTAAGTCTTTATAGAGCTGTATTATTGATCTTGATTGTATCCCTCTGTTAATGCAAGTTAGGGTTGCGTTGGCTTTTTTGGCTGCTGCCACACACTGTTGACTCATCTGTGAAACTGACATGGACCAGAGATAGTCAAAGTAACCTCCCTGGGTTTGCATAAAGGATTCCCAAGAGTTGTCAATATAGCTAGGAATAATGAGGTTTTGAGAAGGAAGAGAAAAATCAGTCAATACAGGTAGTCCTCTATTTATGATGACAGTTGAGCCCCAAATTTATGTTGTTAAGTGAGACGTTTGCTAAATGATTTTTGCCCCATTTTACAATCTTTCTTGCCACTGTTGTTAAGTGAATCAGTGCGGTTGATAAGGTAGTAACGTGATTATTAAGTGAACCTGGCTTCCCCCTTGACTTTGCTCATCACAGAAGGGGATCACATGACCCCAGGATGCTGCAGGCGTCATAAATAGAAACCACTTGTCATGCATCCAAATGTAAATCAGGTACCCTGGGGATGCTGCAAATGTTGCGGGTGTGAAAAACGGTCGTAAGTCACTTTTTTTCAGCGCCGTTGTAATTTCGAAAGTTCATTAAATAAACTACTGTAAGTTGAGGACTTCCTGTGCACTATTTTCTATACAGGTAGTCCTTGACTTAACAACCACTCATTGTCAGGATTCCGGCAATTGCTCCAATTAAATCATGAGCCTCGAGCCACACTCCAAAAATTAAAAAGGATTTATTAGAAGTCAACATGTCGGCATGACCTGGGCGTAGCCGACTCTGAGACACATAATTCACTGTCACCCTTGATCCTGCTTTCCCCCCACCCCACCTCTCGCTCATAAAACATTTTGTATGCACATTTTATAGTTGTCACTCATTTAGCAATTGCAACCCTGGGAAAAG